CACCATGAGGAGGGTTCAGATGAATCAAAGGTCACCTCAAAGGAAGCCAGTCATCATCATCATCATCATCTACAGATGTGCTTTTAGTCCTGGAAACTAATAATAACTTACTATGAAAAGTTTGAACTTCATTAAAACAATTAAATAATGTCCAACTCAGTGGAAATGAGTGAAAGGTACAATTTCAGAGTACACATTTCAGTATCTTAGATGTTATTTCCCCTTTATTAACCTCTCTATTTATACTTGCTGGGAATTAATTAATACATTTTCTCCAGATTGTGTTTGTCGGGAAATGAAAAGCGGTCTGTCATTTTTGTTTCACCAGCGTATTAGGTAGGTTGGTACAATATTCTGGAAGCTACTTCCTTAGTGCAAACAGGAGATGAAAGACCTTCCATTCAATTCAATGGGACTTTCACAGGGGACCGTGCTTGCTAAGCACAGCTCTCAACTCCATAGTTCGCTTTAGGCATTATTCCCCCACCATGTGTTGAAATGATGTTTAGAGGGGTGGTTCTGGCCTGCCCACAATGTCCCCTTCTGCCAATCAGTGTAGACAATGCTGAGTTAGATGGATCAGTGGTCTGGCCCAGTATATGGCAGCTTCTGGTGTGCAAGCAAGGCAATGGCGTTTCTTAATGTATTTGTTTTCCTTGGGTGTTTTTCCTTCCCCTGACCCTTTCCTCCCATTTCCTTCCTCTGTGTTTATCGTGTCTTTCCCCTCCTCCTTTCTTCGCCATTTAGCCCCGCAGAATTAACAGAAGAACAAATGAAAAAATAAATGAAATGCGTGTGACTTTATATGGTCTCTCTTTATACAGCTAGAACAAAATGAAGATGATCTGATGAGATAAATCGCAGGAGGTTAATAGCTTTTTTAAAATCAATCTTCCTTACAAAGAAAAAGGATAAATGGCTTAGTGGATGAAGCGTTGGCCTCTCACCTTTGTGACCAGAGTTCAAGTCTAAACTGTGAGGGTCTGGAGTAACACGGCTTTATTGGGCTGAGATCAGTCTCTAGTGGGCAGGAATCTGTATTACAAGATTTTTGTGTGTAATTTCCCATACGGGTGGTACTGACACATAAAGAGAATATAGGCGACCTGCGTTCTTTCTCTAACTAGCAGCAGGACTAGACTGGAGTTTAGACAACTGTGAATAAGTTGCTACCAGAGGTCTTTAGGCTGCATCAGCATACCAGTTGCTCTTAACTAGGACAGATTTAAGCCTCAACCATCTATCATTTTCTTCCTTTCCAAAAAGAAAAAGAAAAAACCCCAAACAATGACATAATCCTCCCCCCCCAAACACACACACACACACTAATTAACTAACCTTGGGAGAGATTTTTAATAATTGCAACTGATAGTTTTTAATATCCTGTCCAGGCCGAAGGATAATTTATTTGAGCTGTTATTCACACAGAAGGTAGAATTTTTAGAGAACCTAGTAATTGAAATGTCAATTAGGAAGTTTACCTAAAAGGGAGGTACTTTTTTTAAAACACACATACACACACCATAATTTATTATCACATTAATCCTATTTTAATCACACATTAGTCTGATAATTCATGTATTCACATCCATCACTCACATATGACAACTATTAAAGGGTCTCATTTTTCTGGGGTTTTAATTATATATTTGAGATAGAAAAGTGTGTGGCAATGCAAAGTCAGGAAAAAAAGAGATTTATTTACTGGGCATCTATGTGGCTGTCATTTTTAAAAAAGTTGTCACTAAAGGTACTTGTATTAAGCCTGTTTTGTAAGTCAGGGTATCATATTTCATGTACTAGCCTATGAACCCCAAAGGTTGCTTGACCTCACAGAAGGTTAATTCCAAGAGACGTTGGCGGTGGGGGTGAGAGTTCAGTGATTGGAAACTTACATGCTTAAATAGCATTTTGAATAGATTAATTCTTGAACATGAAAACGAGTCTTTGGAGAATATAACAGTGTGGGGTTTTTTTACCATTTAGGTTAGGTTGGAGTGTAAATAAAAATAATATATATAGTATGTTATAGATATATTAAAAAAAGAAGAAGGTTTTTTTATTTAAATGTTTATCATCTCCTATCACTTCAGAATTATTCCTACAATTTATTAAGGGCCATTGTTTACTGCTAATTCAAACCACCTGCAAATCCCTTTGTTTTGATCAAAGCATTTTCTATTCCCTTCCACTGCTCCCCACAAGACTGATAGATGGCTTTGTAATTCGTGAGATAATATGTTAAAGGTCACGAGTTAATGCATCCTATGGAACTTTTTCTCTTCCTTTCCCAAATGGGTAGTGGGAATATGTCTGTGCTCTGTCTCTAGTTCTTTGTAATATCATTTATAACAGAATTCAAAGTGTGTGTGTGTGTGTGTGTGTGTGTGTGTGTAGACATATACAGGCATCTTTTAAAAGATTATTAAAACCTTTCTGTAATAATGTATTACAACCGTTGCCTGAATCAAGTATTACTATCACCCCTTTTAAATTAAACTATCCACAAAACACGCATTTGCTTTCTGCTATAGAAAATGCTAATAATGCTTTTAGAATGGTATTTAAAAAGTCTAATTATATCATTTAAAAACTGAGAGACCAAAGGGCAAACTAAATTCTCCTAACATAAATCAGATTTTTTTTCTTTATTCCAATGACTTTAAAAACCTCAAATGCAGTAATTTTAATAGCAACGAAAGAATGAATAAGTCATAACTCCACCTGATCACATAACTGTCTATAACTGTTATTAAATGCTCGAAAATAAGTGAACTCATTATGTTTCAGAGCTGCTTTTAGCTAATCTAAGATTCTGCTCACTTAATCATGTAGAAAAGGCTTCAGCACAGTTTTAGACCCTCAGGAAGGTCAGGAAGGAATGGGGGGGGGCACTGCTTTCTGCTGTTCATTTAAGAACAGCACTTTTGACCCGAAACTCATGATCTCTCATATGAGCTTGAATTTTAACCCCAATAGAGTTTTGCTGAAGAGGAAAGGTTTGCACCGCCCATTGCTGTAACTGCTGCAAACAAAATCACAAAGAAAGGAGCAAAATGCCCATCAGACGTACTGCATGCAAAATGGAAGTCTACTCTGTGGTACCTACAAATACCAAACAAGTCATTTTTTTAAAAAAGAAAACCTTAGAATCTCACTATGTAAACTCTGTAATGAATTATAATTGGCTGAACGGCAGAGTGACAAAACATTGTGGTTCTTCCCTGCCCACATATATATGTCTCCCAGCCAAAATATAAATCTCCTTTATGGAATTTCCCAAGTGCTACACTTCGTGCCCCTCCCCCTGGCCCCAGCATGTATTATTTATTTATTTAGACAATTTCTATACCACTGTTTATACATAAAAGTATCTCTAAACAGTGTACAGAAAACCAGAATTAGGTGCCTGGTGAAAATGTTCCTCTTCAACCAAGACTTTAGCTGATTAACATTCTACGTCCTTTTAAATGTGTTTGTGTGTGGGGGGGTTTGTTTTGCTCTTGTTCTTGTTTTTATTATGTATTTTGTGTTCTCATTTTGTATTTTTATGTTGTGAACCACCCTGTGATCTTTGGATGAAGGGCGGCATACAAATTTAAATAATATTAAGAATGACAATAATAATAATAATGTTACAAAAATACACAATAAAAACATTATTAATAAATATATATTGGTATGTTAATTGCTGCCTGGAGTGCCATTGGGAGGTAGAATCGGATACAAATTTAATAAACAAACAAATAGCAATAACTTCTCCTTTTGAAACACCTTCCCATTCAACACTTCTCACCAAAGGCTACACCCACCCACCATAGCTGCTTCTTCTTTCTTCTTTGGTGATCACTTGTAGCTGAATAAGATTGTCTTCCAAAACAAGGTTTTAGCAGTGAGTCTGTAAGTGACTGTGGAGGCCAGTTCTGGATCCACACTTCCTTCCACAGTGGGGATATGGGTTTCCGGGCAGGAGTTGATAATGGTGAGTGTTTGCCAAGTATGCCTTCCTCTTAGCACGTTTCTCCCTTTCATCCTGAGTTCCAGTGTCTTCAAAACCCATGACACCTTTGGTAAAGATTGTTCTCCAGTTGGAGCGCTCGCAGGCTAGTGTTTCCCAGTTGTCAGTGTTTATACTACATTTTTTTTAGATTTGCCTTGAGAGAATCTTTAAACCTCTTTTGTTGACCACCAGCATTACGCTTTCCATTTTTAAGTTCGGAATAGAGAAGTTGTTTTGGAAGATGATAATCAGGCATCTGCACAACATGACCAGTCCAATGAAGTTGATGTTGAAGAATCATTGCTTCAACACTGGTGATCTTTGCTTCTTCCAGTACAGTGGTACCTCGGGTTACAGACACTTCAGGTTACAGACGCTTCAGGTTACAGACTCCGCTAACCCAGAAATAATACCTTGGGTTAAGAACTTTGCTTCAGGATGAGAACAGAAATCACGCGGCAGCAGTGCAGCAGCAGCGAGAGGCCCCATTGGCTAAAGTGGTGCTTCAGGTTAAGAACAGTTTCAGGTTAAGAACAGACCTCCAGAACGAATTAAGTTCTTAACCCGAGGTACCACTGTACACTGGCTTTAGTTTGCCTGTCTTCCCAAGCAAGGTGTAAAATTTTTCGGAGACACCATTGATGGAATCTTTCAAGGAGCTGGAGGTGGCGTTTATAAGTAGTCCATGTTTCACAAGCCTACAGTAAAGTTGGTAGAGCTTCAACCAGGGCCCAAACAATATCACAGACCACCCCCAAATTCACATAAATTAAAAGGATCCTGGAACCTGCTGACATCATCCCCGTTTCTCATTCTAAACTTGCTTTTATGGACAGGCACCATGGTAGGTTCAGTAGCTTTAGGAAGCCTGCAGGTGAGTCTCATTCAGCAGCCAGTCAGTTGCACTGCACACATTCATTTCCATGCTGGTTCAGTGAGATTCCCAGAAGACCCAAAGAATGGGAAATAGTACACCCCTCCACTCACAGTTCCTTCTCTGGTCTCTGCAGCTCAGTTGGTAGAGTATGAGACTCTTAATCTCAAGGTCATGGATTCAAGCCCCATATTGGACAAAAGATTCCGCATTGCAAGGGGTTGGACTAGATGGCCCTCGTGATCCCTTCCAACTCTGCAATGCTCTGGTTCTATAAGTGGAAGCCACTTAAGGCAAACCCTCCATAAAGCAAAAATAGAAAAGCAAACATAATGATAATAATAATAATAATAATAATAATAATAATAATACAAATTGAAACAGATAGGAAATACCCATGCTGCATTCAGGACCTTCCTCCTTATCCTGTTACCTAAGATCACCACTGCTCTTAACTGTTATTACAAGCCTTGTCTTGAGGAAACCACTAGGATAGTTTCTGCAGAATAAATACAAAGGGATAGAGAGATCTTCTGCGATCCCCAAACACCACCTCTTGTGTTCTTTCAAAGGATCCCCTTACCCTCTGGATATGCCTGGGAGTTTCCAGTAGGGAGGAGAACTGGCAAAAATGGCTTCTCACTTCCCTTCCCCTTTGAATGTTTGATGTTTTATTGTGTTTTAAATATTCTGTTGGGAGCCGCCCAGGGTGGCTGGGGCAACCCAGTCAGATGGGCAGCATACAAATATTATTATTATTATTATTATTATTATTATTATTTATTATTCCAGTCACAGGAGTCTCAACTGGTTATAAACATCTCTTCCATTAGCTGAGAGACACAACTGGAACCAGCTTACACTATGGAGGATGTCATTATAATTAGATCTGAGCTTAGCACCTTTTTAACAGGATGGTAGTTGCCCCACCCCCCACGCCAAGGTGAAGAATTAGTAGGGGACATCTTGCTATGGTTTAGTGAAAACATGAAATCTGTATCCAACTACATAATCCTTGTCGCACTCTGGTTTGTAGAAGATGGATGCCTGTGGGAAGATACAGGGCAACAGTTTGAGCAAAATCCCATCTTTCCCTGTTTCTTTGATTGGATAGGCATTTTGGTATATAGATATTTAATATTTACCAGCCTGTAGGTTCCATCATTATCTCTTAGAGCCATTTGCTGCTTAGTTAAATATTTTGAGCTACTAAGATTCTTCTGAAGCCCCAAATGTTATTAACAAATATAATGTTGACTAGAAACTGGCCTTAGAACATTCTTATTTGACATTATTTTACATAATGATTCCATTCACATGATCACCACCACCACACCCTGTTAAAACTGACCAGTGGGGGGCACAGTGGAACAAACCAGAAATTGGAAATTTATAAGTACTCAAAATAAAAATTATCATGCTAATTAAATCAGAAATGGCTCTTTTTAATGAAGCGACAGCCTCCTACAGTATAGAAATGTAGTGGGGAACCTTTCCGCTTTTACTTTGCTTGGAAGGAAGCTTTCCCTCACTTTCAACTCCACTCCCCACACCCCTGGCAAAGGTCTTTGCCTTGTTTCATCCCTTCCCTTCCTGCCAAAAGTCCAATTTGTAGGGTCAGAATCTGGCTGCCAAATAAAAGTACAAGGTCCCCACAAACAGGTTCCATGGAGGTGAATTCAAATTAGCTTGAAATGTAGGGACATGTTTGTCTGGTATGTGTTCTAGGCAGGCTACTCTCATTTTTCAATATCCAGTTTCTAACCTTTTTTTGCAAAGAACATGAAGACAGGAATTGAAAGATGGGCCCTGCTGCAGCCCCTTAAATGCAGGGGGCCTGCAGCCTCTCTGGGAAACAAAGTCATCAAAGCACTTACACAAGTCAGATTGATGCAACCCTGCTTTTGGAAGTATGGTCAATTGTTGTGACACCACGGCACTGCCATAGGGCAGTGCCACACAATCACAGCTGTGAGGAGAATGTCTTGCCCCCAGCTTGTTTTCTCTTCCAAAGAGGCTTGTTTTCAAAGTAGCTTGCACATAACCATGCTCAACTCTTTTAAAACCATCTCATAACAATGCGAGATGTACAGCAGAAACAAGCATCAATAAAAATGCCAGTCTAAACATATTTGTGGTCTGGCTGCCTTTTTGCTCCAAAACTCAAACAGCCAGAACTTGCCACCTATGATATGGATTCGCACATGAAATTCTAGGTGCACACGTAAAGTATTTGCAGCAAAGCCTTGACTGCAAACACAGGTATTATATTCACATACAATATCACATATGATGAATTGGGGGGGGGCGATGGATTTGGTGGAAAACTTAGGTTTGTCTCTGTATGATGTGTGAAATGGCCCTGAAGGCTGCCTCAGCGAGCAATGAAAGTCTTTGAACGCTGAGGGTTTTCTAATAGATACTTAGCTTTTGAATGTTTAGACTGTGATTTAAGGAGATGAAATGAATGAAAATGGTAGTCCAACATACACTTTTTTGAGGATCAAAAACACTGTGTGCAACATTCTACACATGCACAGAGGACTGTTTCCCCTCTCCTCTCAGAAGGAACTTCTGTCACCAAAAAGGCGGGAGGGGACCCCTCTGGAGCCTCCTCCTATGAGCCACAGACACATACCCACCCACAGGGTGCTTGGAGAGGTATTTTGGCTTCAAGTCACAAAAACCTTTAACCCAGGTGAGGAATGCATCAGTAAAGTTGACCGTCCTGTTTGTTGGTTGCTTTTAAATTTATATTTCTGAAGATTTCTACAAAATAGTTAGAAGGAATTATGGTCAAATAAAAACAATATGCAATGGCCAAAAGAATAATTGTCAATAATGCTATCTTATTTTCTTCTATAGCGATCACTCGTAACCGAGTAGGACTGCCTTCCATGAACACAGTTCTAACAGTGAGTCAATAAGTGACTGTGGAGGCCAATTCTGGATCCACACGTCCTTCCACAGTGGGGACATAGGTTTCCAGGCAGAAGCTGATCACGGTGAGGATTTGCCAAGCGTGCCTTCTTCTTAGCATGTTTCTCCCTTTCGTCCTGAGTTCGAGCGTCAAAATAATACTATAGAAACAATCTAAAAAGAGCAAGCAAGCAATTCTAAGCCCCGATCCATACGGCTCAGAGGGAGGATAATAAGGATGTGGTGGGCTTGAGGCTCCCTCACCAGTGAGGGCCCTGATGCATTCACCAACAGCATGGGCTGTTAACAGGCCCCAAACCACGGTGGAATGTGGGCAGGAAGGTGGCAGAACTGGAGCAGTAGAGATCTGTTGGATCTTAAACCAACTCAGTAGCTACAGAGCAGTCCTGACTGGTCTTCTCTGCTGTACTAACCTGAAACAGGTGCAGCCAAGTATAGGTAGAGCCAAGTATAGGTAGAAGGACATCAGATGCAGTAGCGGCTCTGCCACTCCATTCCACTCCATTGTTCCCTGGCTGAGAATTGCTCCCTAGAAGATATTAGTAGTACAGAATGCAGCAGCATAGTTGCGCAGCATCTGTCTTCCAGCAACGCCCAGGGTCTGTGTGGCTGCTGAATTGCTGAGAGAAGCAAAGACTGTATCAGTGCAGCAGAGAACTTCTAGAATCCTTCCCTTATATGCTGTAACATCCTGCTCCGTGCTGAATGCCCCCATGAATGTGATAGCTTGGAGAAAGTAACGTCTGAACCAGCATCATTCCATTGACAGCTGCCAGGAAAAAGTTGACCTCCCCACCCCATCACCACGTGAATAACCTCAGATATGAAATCTGTCCACTTGGCCATGCTGGTCAGTCATGACTTTCTCCTTGTTCCTTTGTCCACAAGAACACTCAACATGGCATGTTTTACAGTGTCTGAAATGGGCTTCTGCCTCCTAAGTTGAACTTTGTAACTCCAATACCAATTCACTTTGCAACATTCGGCCAAGAAGCTCATAGCCTAGCAAAGGCAAATCCCTTTGCACTTCTCAATGGGAGAATAAAGACATGGAGGCAAACATTTGAGTCGGTGCAAATATTCACTAATCGCTGTCTTTTCCTATATACTAATTAATGTTCCTGAGATGTGAATATTCATCAAACACATATGTTTCTACTTTAGCTTCCTGTCTGAACGAATGGCACCTTTTAACATGAGAAATACAGAAATAACCATTCTATAAAGCATATTAACAAGAATGGTGTCTATTTACCACGGCATGTGTAAAAATAATGACACAAAGTTCATCCCTTTAAATTCCAAAGTTAGATACAGTTTTATATTTTTCCAGTAAAAATGGGAAATTGAGCAGGTTCAATAATTTATTTTACATTTTTTTAAAAAGAAAGATTCCTACCAGTTTTAGGCAAAAGAAGGATATCCTTTGCTTATTCTGGTCTTGATTTATGTGATAATATTTCTAGTTAAGACACTAAGTGAGACTAATAATTAGTCTAGAGTAGTTCTACTGTAGGTAATGTGGCATCTTGGATATTAGCTGCAGCCTAATTAATACAGTTGACTATTCAGGAATAGTTCTGCCCCCCTCAATGCAACCAGACTACTGCCTGTATTCTCTGTGAAACTCGTTTCCTGCTGAAATAAAACCAAGAAACTGTCTAGAATTCAAGCTTATCAAGCCTGATGCTGTGACCATGGCTCCAAGAATGAACATGGTGCCCCATCATTCCACAATTTCTAATGGCTAAAGCTTATATTTGATGGAAAATGCAGAATAAACACACACGTTACTGCCATAGGTTCAGGTAGCAATATCAAGACCTACCATTGCTTTAATGAATAAAATCTGAAGGAACTCAAAGATGCTTGGAATTGTACCAGCACAGCACTTCTTACCATGCCCTTCTCAAGTGGGTGGACCCAGATTCTGAACCTGATGTCCTTCTCCTCTAGTTATCCTTTGAAGAAAGGAAACAAAAATAAAGTAGCCCATCTCACAAAGGATTAAAAAGGTAAAGGGACCCCTGACCATTAGGTCCAGTTGTGGCTGACTCTGGGGTTGCGGCGCTCATCTTGCTTTATTGGCCAAGGGAGCTGGCGTACAGCTTCCGGGTCATGTGGCCAGCATGACTAAGCTGCTTCTAGCGAACCAGAGCAGTGCACAGAAACGTCGTTTACCTTCCCACCGGAGCGGTACCTATTTATCTACTTGCACTTTGACGTGCTTTCGAACTGCTAGGTTGGCAGGAGCAGGGA